TTTTGGGTGGGTGACTGTACCGCTGACACTTGAAGCATCTGGTCTGTCATGGCACGTAAGATCTCACTCAGACGATGTCCCATCCCAGTGTGACCGTCTCTGGAAGTTTGTGGAAAAATCCAACTAGAGCCGAAGTGGATTTTCCGTCGGGTCTCTTAATTTCTCTCTGCGCGTCTATTTCTTCTTCTATGAGTTCTTTAATATCATTCTTGTTCATATGTAATACTTGGCGTGGGAAATAGCTCCCCACACCTTAACGGGGCCGTCATCGATGACATTAAACGTTGCTAAGTTGTTTAGCCTGTCTCCAGTCACCGAAGGTGAGGGAGGCTGAGGACTGTGTGGTACTTCTAAGAAGTCAGCAATGACTGGGAGGCATAACCCTCTCACATAACCTCCAGTGTGACCAGCCAGGAACTCCTGGTTAAGTAGCCACTTCCTTTTTTATCATGACCCAGTTTGTCTCCAGCAAAGTAAAGGAATACAGATGTAAACCTTCCTTTTTTCTCTCTCTGGTGTTATCTCTATCAATACAGTACAGGCACCATCTACTTGTAGAGGTTTTCTATAAGTATATGCTGTTGTTTCTTCTCTAAAACACTGTCTGCTGTACTCGAGACTCCAGTATTGGTGGGACTGTGTTGGCTGATGCATGGCTGTGTACTCATGATCACATTTGTAAATAACTGACGGTCTTAATTTATATGGAAACAAGAATTTTATCAACAAAGTCATTTCATAAGGTTTGAATATATTCTATCTCAATATGCTGTAAAAAAAATTTGGAGAGTGAAAATGTTTTTATATTCCTGGGAACTGCCATAGAGCGGGTACCCCTACCAATGAGTTGTTCCAATGATCTAGATTGGAAACTTGATCCACCAGGACTGCCTTTGGGTCTGTTGGTATAAACACAAACTGCTCCAATACTTAACAGTGACTGAAACAACTGTAAGACATTCTAATGTTCATGGTTTTGATAGTGAAGCTGATTTACATCATCAACTGTACTACAATATTTTAGTTAACTGCCTTGGTGAACTCAATGCTGAGTTTGGTGAACATAATATGAGATTACTTAGTCATTTCTAGTCGTTGGCCAGAATCCAAGACTTGTTTATTACTTCCGGAAAATCTTGTCCCATTGGCTAAACTCATAGGTGTCGACACTGAGTCGTCTCTTCTGGTAAGTGAATGTCATGTTGCTAAGTGACTTATTGAAGAATTTTATTGCCCAGTTCTCAAAAACATTGGTGAAAATTTCAAGATATCATATCCTTTCTGAAATGGATTAACTCACATACACAAGCTTTATGCGGCTGCCCTCACATTTGGTACAAGCACTGCAAGATGTGAACACTCCTTCTCAACTGTCACATGCTTACACAATATAGGCATTCAATGACTCAAAGTAGAAAAAGTAAGCTGGTCTTGACTGTATTTTGGGCAGACCTTACACAGAAATTGAACTTGGAGGAAAAAGCAGGAAAATTAAATTGTACTGAGTTAATTATCACTATCACATAATGAGTACAGTACTGTGTATATGGACGTTATTAATGGAAGGAATATTTTCTCATTATTTCTCTGTTGTCATTTTTTCATAAACATCATCAGTTTTCATTATTGTCTTGTTGGTTATTTGAGAAAAATTAATTTACATTCAGTTGTTCATTGCTGTACTTCAGCTTATATAATTCTTTCCTGTAAATGTTATATACTTAAACTATCATTACATATATGTGTGTGTAGTTTAATAATTTATGAATTTATATACAGTATACATAAAATGTTGTGAGCTGACTCATTAGTTGTCATAAATAAAGTTAGTGTTCTGTTGTATAATTGGTTTTATTTCCAAATGGTTTCATTATAGAAATTACACCTAATAATGTCATATATGGCAGAGTCTTTAATAAATAATCTTGGCCCTCTTCGTTGTTGAACAGGCCCCCCCCACTCGGTTATAAATCTGACAATGGGTCTTGCAGATAATTTACGATTTGATAAACAGCAACGCCAACAAGAAGTCATAACTAGGGAGGGAAAATGAAATATAAGAACATAAGTTTCACTCATTAACCAATATTACTCAAAAGAAATTGGAAATGTATTTAAACTCATTATTATGGGATTTGATTCCAACAATATAATTCTCATAATTTATAATGTGCATAGAATAGGTTTAAGATCCTACTTAACCAAACGAAAAAATAAATAAGGGATTTGTGGAGATAATAGACTCATGAATCTGGATAGTAAAGCCTAAAAGAAAAAAACACAATCAATTTTATATACCGGTATACTGTATGGTAATAAAACCACCAATGTGAGGGTCTGTCATTTATTGACAAGTTAAGTACAGTATTACCGGAGTCAGTGTTTATTGGTTTAAGAGCGGACAACAACACAGGCTGCCACGTCATATTTTTTGGTAGATTGTTTACAGTAAATAGTTAATTTCTCTGTGTCAAAGAGCGTGGAGACATCATTTTAGTGTCACATGATCAGTTCTTCACCGTGTTTTACCCCGTACTCTCCGTCATCTTTCATGTCCTGCCCATTACAGGTGATTTATGTTCATAGAGAAGATATAAAAAAATACTGGTATTTATAATTAAAATAAAAAGTTGTGTTAATTTTTATTAGTTAATATGATATTATGTCATTTGTTGCCACCCAAAATTTTTTGATAATTTTATGGTTGCAATCAGTAGTTTTGATCATTCTAAAACACTTTTCTTCTATGCCATTTCTGTCACAAATTAAGTTCTGTATAAGTGAGATATTTTACATTTTAGTTGCTGGTTTGTTAACCAATCAGATCTTGGCATAGTCCATCTGTTAGGCTAGTATGGTTTAGATTAGGTTATATATTCTATACTGGTGCAATCAATACAGTATACTTATATACTAATGCAAATTAATTACATACACTGTACACTCTTGTCCTATATGTTCGTAGGAAATGTCAAATTTTCCCCTAAAATCAAAACTTTTTAATTTATAAATTTGTACCAAAAAATTTCAAACAATAGAATCAAATCTATATAACATTTTACATCCATCAAGCATAATTTCAACTTCCAAATGCTTGGTGGTAACAAGTGAAATTTTACCATTAATACTACATCATCCACAGAACAACTGTGGATAATATGAATCAAATATAAACACAGTACTCTGGTACTAAGGGACTCCACCACCACTACCCAATAATGGCTCAGTACAAGTTATGAAGGTGTTATTTGACTGTGCTGGCTGGGCAAATATCCAAAGGGTATTTGACCGTTAGCTGTGGAGATTGTCTATGATTTTAATGGGATTGTGGACAGGATGGCTGTGGGCATTATTACACTAGTCATTACATAATAAATGCTTAATCATTATCTCCCTTGTGATACTCCAAGATGTCCCACTTCTCTTATGGACATATAATGATGTAGGTTGAATTGGGTTAGGTTAGATAAACATTTTTTAGTCTATACCTAAACTGTATCATAACTGTTAAACGTTGAGCTGTTGGTTAATAGATTTATAATTTAATCATGTTCTATCTTCCTTTACGTGTTCCTATCTCTACTGTGTTACAATAGTTTAAAGTTATCAATAAAATAATATGTAGTATATTCTGGGGCCACAAGAACCTTAGAACCTTCAAGATATTATATTATATTTATAATTTGTTAGTCAAATTGATACAGTAAAACCATTGGTAAATATATTGAATAATAATTATTGGCATACAATAATATGATATATAAGTGAGGGTAAAATAGTGCTATAAGCCGTGCATATCCTGTTGCTCCTGCCAGCAGACCAACACACAGCAAGTCTCTTACCTTGTCCACAACTATTATAAGGCTCTCTCTCTCTTACACCACCATAATCCCTGCACACTTATCATTCATACTAAAACACAAATGAGTCCTCACAATACAATATTACAGCAATACAAACCAATTTTCTTCAGAATATTTTTCGATGCTGTGTTTGCATGGAGGAGGGCATGGCACACCACACCCTTCTTCCCAACCACACACACTTTCTCCTAACCACTCCCTCTTCCTCCCATGCACATCCTCTTCCTCCCATCCACAAACACTACCTCCCATCCACACACCCAAAAGGTTGGGTGGATGGGAAGGGAGTTGGGATGGGTAGGTATGTGAGTTGGGTTGGAGGGGAGGTGGTGTAGGAGGAGGGTTGGGTGGGAGGGAGGGTGGGGGTGTTTGGGAGGGAGTGTTGGGTATAAGGAAAGGTGTGAGAGAGGGTGAGTGTATGGATGGGAGTGAGGGTGTGTGGGGGAGGTCCTCCCATACACACACCCTCACTCCCATCCATACACTCACCCTCTCTCACACACCCAACCTCCCACCTTTAATGTGTGTGGATGGGACTAAGGTTTTCTCATTTCTTTCAGATTGTGCGCCTCCGAGGTGAACGTCTGACTGAAGTGAACGTGTGGCTGGTCGAGAACTCCTCCAAACAGGTAAAGTACTTATGACAATATATAATGTCTATATGCAAGTATTTATGAATGTTATGTTTTAAAGTTTTTTGTATTCCAGGTTTGTTTGTGTGGCTGACTGGACCTACTACAAGGTGCTTCTTGGAGGTAATAAAGGTAAAGTTTTTCAAGTTATAGTTGATAGCACTAACAGCACCGTAGTTAGACGTAGAATGCACAGTAGTAACTCCGCCTTGTTCAGTCGAACATGCCGGTCCCAAGCCCGGATAAAGGAGGAGGGCTACTGCAGTGTTGTATCTACCATCGCCACCTAACAAACTTACATTATAAATTGTTCTGAAAAAGGTAATATGTTCTGTCAGCAACAGAGAAAAAAATTACATATGTACTGTACATTGTGTACGATGTTTTTACATCTTTGTAGATAGGTAATACAAAATAAAGAATTGAATATACAGTATATTTTTTATTTTCATATGTATACACTACACATTTATTGCAATATACAATAAGTCCAGAAGCTGATACAGAAATACAAAATATCCTTGGTCATATAGCCTGGTTTTATACCTGCACTGTCTAGGTACAGTATATATCAATTTACTGGCCATTCCTGCAGTCTTGTTCTTAAACCTACATTACCAAATATTAGCACAGAAGAAAATCAGAAAACTTGTAATGATTGGCAACATCACTAGATATCTTTCTCCCGTGTCCCGCGAAATCACATTACAGTACCACTATCATTATTATTTCTCGGCAGATACATCAGTGGTGGTGAGGCCGTCACATTACCAGCGGTTGTGGATTTCTCAATTCAACCTTTATATTGCAGACTCCACATAAGGTGAGTTTATTTCACTAGACCTTAAGGTTTTATAAAGTATCTTGTCAGGGTTTGGTCCTACACAAAATTTAGCTTTAGATAATAATGGAGGTCTTGTACTTAGTGAATAATTTTGGCCAGGCACAGTACAGATATACTTCTAAATTTATCCAAGTTACCAAGTCTTTAGGGGGCGGGGTGGGGGTAGGGGGGTTCATAAGTTGTTTATTACAATTTTACAATTTTTTTTCTTCTATATTTTCAGGTAAAACACTTCCATTCAGCAATTGGTGTGCAGTGTCCAGATTGTCAACATTTAGTAAGTAAAATTCTTACTGTACTTTACTTTCATTTACTGTATATATACAATACTTTCAAATTAATAGTATGTATGCAATCAAAAATGTTCCTTACGGTCATGGCCGATGAATTTCAAAATGAACACGAGACGTCCGTTCTCTCGGTAAGGTTGTCAAAATCCTTTGTCCGAGGCGTCGGTGACTTAAATGCATTATTTGTGCCATCTGTGGGTTTCTAGTAGTTTTGATTACATGTACCCAATAGGGCATCACATGGGCATTAGTTTGTAACAGTTGTACGTACAATGAATGGCACTTTGATGTCAATTGGTGATAATTATATGTAATTAATGTATATATCATGTTCTAAGTTACCCAGAAGCCATCATGTGGGTGTATCCAAGTTGATCACTTTAGTTCATGTTTCAGGTATAGTTTACAGTTCTACTGTACTTGTGGTTTATTTAGATCATTATCATTCAACTTCGGAATATGAAACGTAAAGTTCATTCAATATTTATTTATTTTGTTATACACAGACATTGTAGGAGTACAAACCATTACAAACACCTCCCAGTGCAAGTGCCTCTACCCAAGTGCCCTACCAAAGTGCCTCCCCCGGTACAAACGCCTCCCCCGGTACAAACGCCTCCCCCGGTACAAACGCCTCCCCCGGTACAAACGCCTCCCCCGGTACAAACGCCTCCCCCTGGTACAAACGCCATCCCTCAACAAGCCACCAGAGGCCTTCCCACACTGAACAACAATTACATATTACACTTAATTTTACAAACCACTAAGAGAAATGGATCCGTGCGAGATATTCAAACCTCTCACAATCCGTTTGATTGATGTCCGTGTATCTCGTTGTACACCTTGCTGATACTTCACCTGTGGACGAAAAATATACAGTATTATAAAATGGAAATTTTTTGCAACCACAACAAAACTGACTACCACTGTAGTTAATAATGCTACTGTACATAATGTATCTTGTTATTTTTAATACTTTGTGTGGCTTTAATCAAGGTCCACTCCTACAGTCTTGAATGCATTAGTACAGTACTTTAAGTATTTTCTCAAGTTTTGCTAAATTATAACAAAAATATTTCCGTAATACTTAACTTTCACAGTACACTATTCTTACAGTAGTGTACAGAACACCAATTCTGTTCTTTCTTAGTAAGGTGGTAGTCCTCAAGGTGTGGGATGCTAGACAGTCGTGGTCACCTTGTTGTGTCTGGTCCATCTATCTTGTACACCAACCACCTGCAACATGATTATATTTGTTTTTAGATACTCTACATCTGAATTAATTAAGCTATTTTATAACACAACCAATACACAATATTGAGGTTAACTTGTACTGTATGTTCTTAAATGCACTATTTTAAGTAATATATCAAGTTTTGCTAAATTATATAAAAAAGGTTTCAGTAATACTTAACTTTTACATTGCAGTACACTATTCTTAACAGTAGTGTACAGAACACCAATTCTGTTCTTTCTTAGTAAGGTGGTAGTCCTCAAGGTGTGGGATGCTAGACAGTCGTGGTCACCTTGTTGTGTCTGGTCCATCTATCTTGTACACCAACCACCTGCAACATGATTATATTTGTTTTTAGATACTCTACATCTGAATTTATTAAGCTATTTTATATCACTACCAATACACAATATTGAGGTTAACTTGTACTGTATGTTCTTAAATGCACTATTTTAAGTAATATATCAAGTTTTGCTAAATTATATAAAAAAGGTTTCAGTAATACTTAACTTTTACATTGCAGTACACTATTCTTACAGTAGTGTACAGAACACCAATTCTGTTCTTTCTTAGTAAGGTGGTAGTCTTCAAGGTGTGGGATGCTAGACAGTCGTGGTCACCTTGTTGTGTCTGATCCATCTATCTTGTACACCAACCACCTGCAACATGGTTTGGATTTAGATCAATCTTAATTAGCCTTAATGTATTACTACCAATACACAACATTTACTCCAGAATTTCTTGGAATCTAAACTTGCATTCTTATATATATGTGATATATCCATACACTCAAACACCCTCCTATATCACCTTACACAGGAGCATTGTCCTTCTCCCTTTTGGCTGCAGCAGTCTTCATCTAGGCATCATCCCCCACATGCCTTCATAGTACATGCTATTTTTTGCATCACATTTTTAACATGCACTCCATTCACCATTGCTTGAGCACACCACCATCCATGCATGAGCGCCCCCACTGTACGAGCGCCCGTCCACTATACGAGGCACCCACCCCCACTGTACGAGCGCCCGTCCACTATACGAGGCCCCCACCCCCACTGTACGAGGCCCCACCCCCATTGTACGAGCGCCCCTGCACTGTACGAGCGCCCCTCCACCGCCCAATGCTCCTCCTTTCCTACCCTTCACACAAAGTAAGTCCCTCCTCTCGAGTCTTACTTCCATTAGTTTTTGGGGATGGCCATACTAAGGTACATAAGTAATTTACCTAAGAAGGCTTAAGTAACATGCTGGGTGTTACATCTTGCTCAAGGTGTCGGTCACTTCCTCTACATTGGCATTCACTTACGTCAGCTGTCACCTGCAACATGTTTAAAGTTGTAATTTATGTACAATGAAGATTAAACATACAATTTCCATCTACCACCAGACTACATGTACTTATACTGTCCCCAATTGTTTATTTTTATACCTTATCTACAAAAGATCTTATTTTAAGTTGCATTAGTGTTTTAGTTTTCTTGATACCTCAACAACTAACATTTACCACAACAATAGTATAGCCAATCATAACAAGCCTTCATCACCAATACTGCTACACTACTAAATCTCTCCACACTGCTTCATACACAACAGTTTACCACTGTTCACTTACTGAATCCTCCCTCCCTTCCTCCCACCCCTCAAGCCCCCTTAGGTATTCCCCTTGACAACTTGGTCACATTTAGCTTGAATGAAAAACTTAACCAACACACCTGCTCACCCCATATGCCAACACACAAGCCATATTGTCCCCCCCCCACCCTAATTACAACAAGCCACACCCACACAATGTTTAATGATTTCACAAGTCCCACAAGCTTCCCTTGCCTAAATAAAACTCCGTAAGTTGACTTTACCTGTTCTGGCATTTTAAGTTATTTCTCCTTAGGTTCAGTATGATGTTACTTCTGGCCAGCTTAACCTGAGGAGAAAGTCAGTACAGTACACGATTAGATTTTGAAAAGGAAACTGCAAAGTACGCAAGCTATTGATTTT